TTCCTTCTCTTTTCATTCCCTCTTTCCTCTCTATTTTATCCCCTCTTTCCTTCCTTTTTTTCTTCCTTCTTTCCTTCTCTCTACTCTCTCTCTTTCCTTCCCTTTTTCCTCCTTCTGTGGCCCAATTCACTCTTCGCTCCCCCCCCCGCAAGCCAGCTGGGGAAGGGGAGGCTTTTGAAGATGCCTCCCCCCTTTTTGCGTCTCCTTCTGACATCACTTCTGGTGATGTCAAGGGGTGTGGTATATGCTAATAGCCTAGTAGCTCATTAGCATACCATATGCTAATGAGCTCCTGCTGCTCTTTTTCTACGAAAAGACCCCTGGCTATATTGATCTAGCTTTATAGTGCAAATTTAAAACAGTCCCTCCAAAAAGCCAAAATATAACGTACTGCAAAAAGTCCAGGGGAGAAGCAGCACTTTCAGATGTATCACAGATATTTTGAACAACCCGCTACAGCAATTCAGAAGCACAAAGAAGACCAAAAAACAAAAGAAAGGAATTAAAAAACAACAACAACCCCACAACAGCTCAGCCCTGCTTTGCGAACAGAACAAAAGCAGCTTTGTATGAAAAGTTTTTAAAAAATGGCAGCCAGGAGCCAAAACATTTGTGTCTGAAATGTCACCAAAAATCCATTAATAACTGACTGCTAAACTGGATTGTGAGGGCTGTTTGAAAGGTGCCTCAATGTCTACTTGAAGGGCTTTTTTGTAGAAGAATCCCAGCAGGAACTCATTAGCATATTAGGCCACACCCCATGCCTTCCCTTGGCTTGCCCCGGCGCCCTGTGGCTGTTTGGAGCCCGGGCAAGCCCCTGGAAGGGAAGGCAGTTTAAACTGCCTCCCCTTGGCTTATCCAAGCACCCTATGACTGTGGGGAGCCCAGGCAAGCCCCCCCTTGAAGGGAAGGGAAGGCAGTTTAAACTGCCTCCCCTTGGCTTACCCAGGCACCCTGTGGCTGCGGGGAGCCCAGGCAAGCCCCCCCTTGAAGGGAAGGGAAGGCAGCTTAAACTGCCTCCCCTTGGCTTACCCAGGCACCCTGTGGCTGCGGGGAGCCCGGGCAAGCCGGCCCTTGGAGGGAAGGGAAGGCAGTTTGAACTACCTTCCCTTGGCTTACCCAGGCATAGGGTTGCCAAATCTGTTTTTACCTGCGGCGGGGGGCTCCAGGACGGCAATCCCGAGTGCGCGCACTTTGCACATGCGTGCCGCATGCACGTCAGCCGGATGTGACGTGCTGATGCCAGGCACGCTGGGGGCGGGGGCACAGCGATTTGAGGGGAAAACATAGAGTTTTCCCCTCAGATGCCTGTGCCCCACCCCCAGCGTGCCCGGCGTCAGCACGTCACATCCGGCTGACGTGCACACCGGGGTGGGGTTTCCCCCGGGGCCTGATTCCGTGGCGTCGGAAATCGGGCCTCCAAAGCGGGGGGAAATCCACCCTCCGGGGGGATTTGGCAGCCCTACCCAGGCACCCTGTGGCTGCGGGGAGCCTGGGCAAGCTGGACCTTGGAGGGAAGGGAAGGCAGTTTGAACTGCCTTCCCTTGGCTTGCCTGGGTGCCTTGCAGCTGCGGGGAGCCCGGGCAAACTGGCCCTTGGACAGGCTGGGGAAGGCACAGGGAGGCATTTAAATGCCTCCCCAATCCTTCCAGGGCCCCACCACCCCCCCATCTTGGAGTCAGCGGGTGGGGTCGCTCTCCAGGCCTTCCCTCTGTAGGCACTCAGAGGTTTTGGCTGTAGTGGGTGTGGCCAACTCTGAAGCCAGCCGGAACTCCGTTCCTGTGCGTTCCTACCCCAAAATAGCCCTGTCTACTTGTATGTTACTTTTCTTGCCCTGGTTTAACAACAAATGCTTATGTGTTTCCTTCAGACATTAAGCCAATGTATGTGTGATGTTGAAAATCCATGTTCAGATCATGCAAGTCATGGGGGTAAGGGCTGATGTGAACTGGGGTTCTAGAGAAAAGGGGGATATCTTTTCTCCCCTATGCAATTTTCTTAATTATAAATGCCCCCTCAGGCTGTGTATCCATTTACCAACAGGAAAAACAAGACAGGGCCATATTAACTTTTTGTAGCAGTTGGGGGAGGGGAGATTTCTGACTGCAAACAGTACAGGCACAGGATCGGGTAGAGTGTTGGTTTTTTAAAAAACAAAAACCTTTCCAGCTTCTCAGCCCTGATCTATATTGCTCCTCCCCTCCTGTGGCTGCTTTTTGCAGCTCAGTTCCATATCTGGGGATCTGGACATGGATCCCCAGCGTTGTATGTTGTCTGGCCCTAAGGTGGAAGGCAACAAATCTTCCTTCAAAATGGTGATGGTGGGGACTTACACAGGCAAATAGCCACTGAATTTGGATTTCATTCTTTTGGGGTTGTATTATCATAGTGTAAATTATGCTATAAAGAATGGATGTTTCAGTATTAAGATGAGTGCCCAGAATAATGCCAACAGTTTATATGGATTGTATACAGTTTATACTGCTCTAAAATGCTTTAGAATTCTATTTCTCTTAATATTGTTCTACTACCATTGTTTTTAACCTTGTCAGGTTTGCATTGAGACCTATGTCTCCAGCTACCATCAGCGGAGTATTAATACAGCTGTCCGGGCAACCCTTAGCCAGATGCTTAGTGACTTGACTTTACAGTTACGACAAAAACAAGATGAAACAGTAAGTCCTCTAGCAATAAATGAATCCATGTTTCTGACTGGGTCTTCAGTCTATTTTTGTGTGCTTTATGGATTTACTAGCCTGCTACCCGTGCTTTGCTACAGTATCTAAGTTCCATAAATCCTAATACTGATGATGTGAAGTCTGAACTGTAACATTTGTTGTAGGAATTCTAATGGAGAAGATTGTAGTGTAAAAAATGAGTGAGACGTAATTCCCCCCCCCCTCTACTGAAGGACCTCTCTCTAGACGACATTGGTGGTTCTGCCCTCAGGTTCTAGGATCACCAGGCTGCTTGATGAGCCCACTCTGGAGCAGGCCACATAGAACTGTCCATTTAAGAAGCAGTCGTCTGTTAAGTCCACTCCTGCACCTTCCACAAAAATGATGGCCTCTCTACTTGTGTTCCTGGATTGTTTTGTTCATATGGAGATTGTGTTGTTCTGAGCACCTCAGGGTGATCTCACTGGTACTTGGCCTGTGCAGCTCAGTGCACTGCAGGAGTGCTATGTGCAAATGTCTTTGCCGCATTCCTAAGTTGCCTCCTCCTTGTAGCGTTGGTGTACCTGGCTCAACATTTGCCAGGAGTTGTCTTGGGGGGAGTAAGAGGTGAGAGGTGTGAGGGGGAGTTGGTGTGAGGGAGTGGTGATGTGGTGGACATTTCTTCAGGTTCATGAGGGAGGCACACATCAAAATGGCTCCTAGAAATCTCCTTTACTATCTCCCCATAAACATTCATACCCTGGTCCTGCTCCTACACCTGACAGACACTGGCCTGTCTGGTGTTGGGAGGGATTGTATTTAAAGGCATCAGGGAGGCTGGGCCAACAGCAGTGCTAAGGCAATCCTGCTGAGCAAACCTCCCTGGTGGCTGTAAGCATCCCACCTCCTCTCCTACCCCTGACAGGCAGCTGCCTGTCCAGTGTAGGAGGGGGAGGGGGAATATTAGAAGCCACTGTGGAGGTGGGGCTGCACCTGACAGACAACCGCCTGTTAGGTGTAGGAGATTGGATTTATACCCTCCTGACAGACAACCGCCTGTTAGGTGTAGGAGGTGGGGGGGAGTGTGTTTGAAGCCATCAAAGAGGCTGGACCTGCAGCATTACTGGACCTTACAGGTGCTTGTTGGCTACTCCCGATTTCCCCAACTGTCATTAGCTGTCTGCAGTCCCCTGTAACTGTTGGGTTTTTTGACCTCAGAACTCTGCTGTGCAGCTGACCAATCAGAGAGTGGGGGGTGCAGGGAGGCAGCTGCCTGGCAGCCGCATAAGGATCAATGGGGGGAGCACATTTTCCCCCTTTTGACCCACTTAGGGGTCGAATTTCTAAAAATCCCTTCTTAGTGAGCACCTACGCCATGGTAGGAGCGCTCTCCCCGAATTTGGTGTCTCTAGGTCCAGCGGTTCGGCTTGGGTGTTGATTTTACGGTGAGGGGACTTTCTTTTTTATATATAGATTTTTAAAATCTTTGGTTTCTTCGTGACTGCTTCAGACAAAAGCAAGGGAAAATCTGGCCTGTCCAGTATTTCCCTCTGGGTGTTGTCAAGATACACCAGGTTTGTTTGTTTTTTTAATGAGAAGGTCTTATGTAGCTGCCACATCCTTTCTTCTGCTCTAAGAATCCACTGATTATCAGTCCATAGCTGGATGCACTGATAAGTGAGTGCAACTTGAACACACACCTTTCAAGGATGTAATCTTACCAGCATTTCCAGTTCAAATTCCTTAATTTCCTTTCTCATTGCAGCCCTAATCCCATGTGGCATTTTTCTATGTGATGCCCTTGATCCCCAGCACGGACTTTTTGATGGTTAAAATCATCTCCCTCTTTTATCATGGAAAAGCCGTAGGACTCTATCCAATGTTACTTCAGAGCAATAGAACATTATACTGGGATTCATGATACCAAAGCAAACCAGTAGATTACTCTTGTCTGACTGTAGTTCTCTGGGGCTCCAGATTGTAATCTTTGCCAGATCTTTCACCTGAAATCCTTTAATTGAAAATAAGAGATTGAGAATCAAGCTGCATGGATCATATAGTTCCATGATGTTTTCCCTTATAGGTTCTTTTGTTAAAAACACAGGTTAAGTGGAGGATCACCTGAGGAAGGAGGCTATTTAATCCTTTCTTTGCCAGCCATTTCTGTGTTCAAAATGCCCACTCCCTGACGTGCTGTTTTTTCCTCCAAGGGGAAAAAAACAGGATTATATCTTTTCCCTGTACAAATGAGAAAATTTTGAGCAAGCAAACAGCAGAACTAAGGGGAAGGGTTAAGCAGCCCTTTCACTTCTTTAGGATTTTAATATAGTAAATGGTTTGTGTTTCCAGCAATTGGTGGGTGAGGATCAGACCAGAGGACATCTGAGCTTTAGTACTGCTGGCAAAAGCAACATCATGCTATTTAACTTTGTCATATTATCATAGTCCATTGCTACAATTTTGCACTTCTATAGATTGCCAGGAATAAGATGTCAGTACTTTTAGGCAGACTCAATGACAACATCGGCTGTTTCTCTGAATGGTGCTCCTGCAAATACAAGGTAAAAATTGCTGATGAGCTTGGTTAGGTATATTAATATTTAGGATGGTCAAGGATGCAGAACTGAAATGGGCCACAGCACAGTGAAATTTATGCTCAAGAACAGAAAAGTTTTATAAAGTATTTTAAAATACCACTTGCACTTATGAATTATAAGCAAACATTGGCTGTTTGTAAATGATCGTGTGACCTGGAATTAGTTCAAAAAATCTCTGCCTTCTGCTGTTAGCAAGCACCCATCGCACAATTGAGTCTCAGTGAAAAGGAAGGCTATAGATTAATAAATCATATATTACTAAATAGGGACCCAGCCTTCATGGCAGACTCCAAGCTAATAAACTCTACAGAGTGCAGACTGCAATGGATGGGATGAATGATCTGAGTGAAAAGAAGAGGCATATACATTAACTATGGTTTTCAAGATATTTGTCTGGCTTTTTAAGTTTACTGAGAAGTGAACGCTTCTGTGAGTAACTCTGGTGACTGAAATAGGTTCAGCTAGAATATTTTTGCTAAGCTGTATGAAAGGAGCTTGGAAATCTTTTGAATTATACAGCATTTCTAGCACATTGTGGTTCTCCTTTCCTTTCTCCAATATAATTGCATGTATTCAATCCATTTTACTTCCAGACATGGAGCTAGCTTCCTGGCTTCCTCCAATATCTTATCAAGTAAAAAGGAGCATTAGATAAGGTATGCTAATGTCAGTGCATTTATCTTTTTTTGATAGATAACTGAAAGCCAAGGAGTTCTTCAAGGATTCAAGAGTCCAGGTATCTGTTCCTAATTATTCACAAGAATTGTTCTCTGTCAGCTTTTTTTTGTTCTCCATCAGACATTTTCATTGTCATCATATTTACAATTGATGATCTTCTCTTCTCACTGCTCACAGTTTATTGGTAATGTCCTATTGTTCAACCATTATGGATTTTCCACATGGAGCAACGTCTCTTCAGATACTAGAAAACTGCCATCTTTTTACATTATGCTTCATTCCTAATCCATATATAAAACATATTTGACTATTTCACTAGGATGATTCTTAAATATGAATGCTACAGGTACAAAGAACATTTCTGACAAAGAGTATTTTATGGCACTTCTTCGGTGATTTGATACAGGACATGGACAATTATCCCCTCTAACCTCATCCATGAGAAAAGAGCAAGATTCCAGTAGCACCTTAAAGACTAACAAAATTTGTAGCAGGGTATGAGCTTTCGTGAATCACTGCTCACTTCTTCATACCCTGTTTCCCCGAAAATAAGACCTACCCCCAAAATAAGCCCTAGCAGGATTTCTATGCATTTGTGGTATAAGCCCTAGTGTGTGTTCTTGAGAAAAAATAAATATAAGACAGTGTCTTATTTTCGAGGAAACACGGTATATAGCTCATGCCTATTTGCAATGACCTCTGTAAAGGACAGGAATGCATGGCTGAACAGTTGCCTCTGGAATAAGCAGTTTAATCGGTTTGAATGGAGAATCCAGATAATGTTATTGATAGCCCATTGCATTTGAGTGTCTTCTGTGTTTTTCTGCCTTTTTTCATACTTTCTTGTGATGATTAAGGAGAAACAGGAAGTGGTTTATTAATCTGGAGGGAGAAAGAGAGGAGGAAAATGTGAAGGTATAGTATCCCAGAGAAAACATCAACAGCATTTTGACTGCCCGCAGACAGCCTGATGCTGTGTGTGTGTGTGTGTAAAGCTGCTATCCCTTTATGTTTTCCTCTTTTGCTTAACATTCCAGATTAATTACTTTTCTCTTGAGACTGACCATTTTACATTATCAGGGTGGAGAGGGGAGAGAAGTCTTAAATACTACTTTTTCCTTATATCCGCCAAAGCCACCATGCATTTTTATTGCATTGTTTATGATCATATTAGCACAATTATATAATTATAACAAAGAGGAATTTTAAAAATGAAAAGAGTACTGAAAGTCCCCACTCTCATCCAGGGAATAAGAGCTGATAATTGCTCATCGATTCATGATAGAATAAAAAATAATTTGGTTGAACACCAATAAATAAATTCTGTTGATAGAATCCAATTTGCTGAATGGCATTTACTTCTAAATATATGGTAAGATCTCGCCCATGGAGGTGGATGGGGTTGGGGATAAAGTAAATAATATGGCAGTTTCAGTGCTGCTTACAATTTCAGAAGAGAAACCCTCAACAGCATTCTGACTGCCCGCAGACAGCCTGATGCTGTGTGTGTGTGTGTGTAAAGCTGCTATCCCTTTATGTTTTCCTCTTTTGCTTAACATTCCAGATTAATTACTTTTCTCTTGAGACTGACAATTTTACATTATCAGGGTGGGGGGGGAGAAGTCTTAAATACTACTTTTTCCTTATATCCGCCAAAGCCACCATGCATTTTTATTGCATTGTTTATGATCATATTAGCACAATTATATAATTATAACAAAGAGGAATTTTAAAAATGAAAAGAGTACTGAAAGTCCCCACTCTCATCCAGGGAATAAGAGCTGATAATTGCTCATCGATTCATGATAGAATAAAAAATAATTTGGTTGAACACCAATAAATAAATTCTGTTGATAGAATCCAATTTGCTGAATGGCATTTACTTCTAAATATATGGTAAGATCTCGCCCATGGAGGTGGATGGGGTTGGGGATAAAGTAAATAATATGGCAGTTTCAGTGCTGCTTACGATTTCAGAAGAGAAATCCTCACCACACAATACAGTCTAACATGGACAGTCTTCATATGTAATAAGTGCAGGAGTTTGTGTGCCCTGACCTGGATGGTCCAGGCTAGCCTGAGCTTGTCAGATCCTGGAAGCTAAGCAGGGTCAGCCTTGATTAGTATTTGGATGGGAGACCACCAAGGAAGTCCAGGGTCATGACAGAGAGGCAGGCAATGGCAAACAACTTCTGAACGTCACTTGCCTTGAAAACTCTATAGAGGGTCACCATAACTTGGCTGCAGCTTGACATCACTTTCCACCACCACAGAGTTTGTGTGGGGAATTTGTGCATATTCACAGAACATGGGGGCTTTCTACTCACTTCACAAAATAGCAGCCATCTATACAATCCATATAGCGAGATGTGAAATGGTATGGTATACCTGACCTTGTCAGATCTTGGTGTCTAAGCAGGGCCAGAAATTAGATGGGAGTCCACCAAGAAAGACTTTTCAGAGGAAGGCAAGGGCAAACCTCCTCTCCTCACTTGCATGTAAAGCCCTTTGCTGGGGTTGCCTTGAGTCAGTTGTGATTTGTGGCACTTACATATGTACTCTACACAGCAGTTCTAACCACAGGAACATACATGGTTTCCCTCAGTGGTCGTGCAAAGCAACTGTATATATTGTATTCCCAAACTTTCTATGTCTAATGGGGATGTAGTTAGGTCTATACCTGCCTGCTGGTTCTAATATGTGCCCTTTGTCCCATTTGGAGATTCTACAGTGGAGTCCCTTTGCGATGATGTTGTCTCTGTCTTCACGGTTCTCTGTGAAAAACTTCAAACAGTTATCAGGTGAGTGAATTATTTTGAATATAAATGGGGAGTAAGGGACTCTACCATCGTGTGGGTAACATAAAATATACAGTGAAATTCACTTTGCACTGCAGACTAACAACACCAATGTCTGAGGCTGTCTGAAAAGCCTTCCAAAAAGCAGGAAGGGATGGGGCCTTCCAAATTACCTAAAAGAAGCCCATTCCAGAGTGGGCTGACAGCAGTGTAAAAGTTTCTTTCTCTCTATTTCACTACCTTTCATTGACATTTTATCATACCCTTTCTTTGAGAAGCTCAGGGCAGCATACATGGTTCTTTCATCTTAATTCCTCCATTTAATCCTCACAACAGCTCTGTGAGAAAATCTAGGCTGAAAGAAAGTGGAGTCTGGGACCTTTATCTCCCTAGTCCAAACCCAACCACTAAGCCATTTGTCAGGCAAATGAGTGGCATCAGTACATACTGGCTATCTTGAGAACATGGCAAGAAAGAGCTTCTGGGCAGAATGGAACTGGCACATGGATTCATAGAGGGGGCCCAGTCCTCCTTATTAGCTTTATTAGTTTAAGATTTGCTGGAGATATGGTAGAGTTTCATTTCTATCCTCTAGTTACTTATTTTAATCTGGCTGTGTAATTATAAAGACAGTATAGCATAACACTCTTTGTGGTATTACTTTTTAAAAAATCACACAATTGCTTCACATGAATGACTGATAATGTGTAAGGTGTCTTTTGGTGATGAGAAAATGGTAAATCAGATAGTGTGTGTGTGGGAGGGGGTGCCTTAAAAATTCCCTAGATGGAATTAACACACATCTGAGTTTATGGGAATCAGTCTCTATTGTCCTATGCTGCAATGCATGAAAGCACCATGGAAAAATTAAATCAGGAGTGAATTGAGTAAATATAGAGTAACTCTTGTGTACTGGAAAGCTGACATTTACCATTAGTTTACTAGCAGACCAGTAATTATTATTACAAGTGTATGCTGTATTCAGCTTAGCAGCTATAATTACTTGTGCACCTAAATAGCTGTAATTACTTGCCAGTGGTATCTGTCTACTTTTTAAATTGCAAGCAGTTTGTTCACAGTAGCAGTATTTATATTGCATCTATGTGTTAGTATGTGTAGTTATTTATTATTAAGTAATATACAAATTATTAGGTAGTCGTAAGAAAATATTGGTTACTATTATTATGCTAGCAAAATCCCATCATTGTGTGGAGCTGTTTTGTCCAGGTCACCCTCATGAATAACTCATGCGGCAGAAGCCTCCCTGTTCTTCTGTAGTTGCTTTCAGCTTTTGAAAGCTTTGCAGCAGTGGAAGTGGTGGAAGCACTGCCACAACTGACAGGGATCCTGCAAAACAGACAGGCAATAGCTGTCCTGCAGTGCCAGCTGCACTTCTGTAGTTGCTTTCAGCTTTTGAAAGCTTTGCAGCAGTGGAAGTGGTGGAAGCACTGCCGCAACTGACAGGGATCCTGCAAAACAGACAGGCAATAGCTGTCCTGCAGTGCCAGCTGCGGTAGGAGTCCTCCAGGGTATCCAGCACCGTGAAGGTGGCTCTATGTAATAGTGGGGTCCTTTGAAGAAGGACTGTAAATGCTTGTTCCACACTGAGAGTTGCTGTACTGACCACAGGGAATGGCACTGGAGGTTTCTGAGGGGCAAGAAAGGAGAGGTAGAGTTTACTTTTCATTCAGACATCATCTTTTTGTTGGCCAGGAAATTAATTTCCTTTCACTTGTTCAACATGGGCTTCTGATGTGTGGACTTGTCTCAGATGAGAGGAGGATACATTGGGATGAACTATTTTGCAACAGCTTGAAGGAAAAACTGATCAAGAGCTAGCCTACAGTGATCCACTCACTGGCTTAAACCAGGCTGATTCCACATGAGAGTTTTTTCCCATGATGATCATGTTGCTGGTACGATTGTTGTTTAAGTTGTACTTGGAAGGTTCCATGCAGCATAGGATGATCCAGCTTTTCACCCTTGTTAGCCATGGCTTCCTTTTCACACCAGATGTGGCTTGCACCCCCTCCCCCAGCTA